GGGGGGGGGGGGGAGGGAGCAGAAGAGTGATTCACAGATGTAAAAGAGACAGACACAAAGGTAGAAAAAGGTGAGGCGAGTACTGTGGAAGGGGTCGAATNAGGCGCTAGTGGGTGTGTAGAGCTGTTTGGTTTCAGGACCGAATTGGTCAGGCTCTATTTTACCTGCTCTCATGTCCCCTTGAACATCTTGGGCGGATTTTTCTAGTCATGCCTATGACAAATGTCACAAAGTGTGCAGGGAAAAAGCATTGGAGGCAGAAGAAAAGTGCACTAATGAGAATTGGAGACAAGAAATGCGGAAGGTGGTGACAGAAATTGTCCACTGCAAATGTCACCTTGAAAAGGGTGTCTCCCCACCTTCCCATCTTAGTCACATCTGTGTTGACTGTCAAAATGAACGTCCCCCCCCCTCCCCATCGGAATCTGTTTGTTCACTGATTGCAGCAGCAGTAGCAACTTCATTCTGGTGTCATTGGGCCGTCTCATTTGTAACGATAGGACCTAGAGTTATGGACATATAAAGTTCTTCCAGTTTGAGTCATCTTGAGCCATTCCAATGTCCTTCTACGCATAAGAATTCGCTCACTTAATGCTCTAATTCACTTTTTCCTTCTATCTATGAGTAGTATTCATCGTATGAATGGGGCTTAGTACTCATCCTCAGTAATTGCTAAATAATCGCTGCGATTTGTGTGGACCGCAGGTATCACTTCGAAGGGTGTCTCACCACCTTCCTACCTAAGTCACATCTGTGATCCCACAATCCTAAAAGCTCTTCTTTAAGGCAAGTTCATTTCAGGGATGCAAAAAGGGGAAACGACTGAGAAAAAAGGACTTCGCGAATCAATTGACCACTTTAAGTGAACACGCGTATACGTCTGGAGTGGATTGTCACGAAGACTACAATTGGGTTACGTCAAGATGTAAGTTATACCAACCATGATAATGCTAAGTTGTGGCTGCACGCGAAGGATGAAAGTCTGGCTTCTAGGCTGTTTGTCTAGGCCCACTCAAGGCACTCCACATCCCACGGACACAAGCATGCAGCTGGTAGAAAAGATCCATTTCGTGATCCTTAAATTGTTGACGTTGTGAGTCACGGGAGAGGTTGGAAGTCTTTACGATGTATTTTACTAATCGATTGAAGGTGGGTCACAGGCTCAATCTTGATCAGAGTACCTCGAGTGATAGTGGTGATCAGTCATACAAATTAATTCTGCTCCATCAAGGAGGTGGTAGAATACGGATCCCTTTTCTCAACTAATTCCCGTCCACTCCCCCCCTCCCCTTATTTGCATTTATTTATTTATTTTTACTTTGGAATTTATTTTCGCAATTTGAATTCAGCTCCGGGTCAAAACTTAGCCCTCGCTGATCAGTTGTCACTCACAATGGCATGGCAACGACCCGATATCGCTCGCTCTCGCGTCCTTGTCGATGCCAACGATTGGTCTGTAAGTTGAAAGTTGTTCGTTTAGAGCGATAGGGAACTTTAATTGATTTTTCATCTTCATTTGTAATTTTGAGTAATTAACTAATCACGAGCTTTTAGAATTATTTATTTCAAATGGCAGGGATATTGATAGTCATCATTAGCCCTTTAGCCGACTTCGGACTTCACAGAGGAGGGGGGGGGGAACAATATAGGGAGAAAAATTCGAGAGGGAGGGGGGGGGGGAAGGAGAGTGATTCACAGTTGTAAAGTGAAAGATAGTCACATGGGTAGAGCAAAGGTAAGATGAGTACTGTGGAAGGGGTTGAATATGACATACAGTGGGGTGATGGTAGTTTGAAGTCAGAAGTCAACTACCGACTGATAGACATTTTTGCCATATAAGTATACGTTGCTCAAGGCGTACCTCGTGGAGGTAAGTCTATCGCGCACCCCGCTTTTAGAATTAACATCATGCTTTAAATTTCAGATATCAGCGTTGGAAAACGCCATGACTGATGCCCTGCTCAACGATCAACTTGACTTCGTTCAACTCCTGCTTGAGAAGGGTCTGGATATCTTCAACTTCCTTACTGATTGGCGACTTGAAGACCTCTATTTCGCTACCAATGCAATTAAAAACAATTTCTTCAGTCGTCTATTCAGAAGCCTTCCTGATGATAGAGCGGTAATTGTCAATCACATATTTTCAAAGATTTTCTCTAATCGGAATATCTAAAGTTGAACGACAAGAACAACAACGAGAATGTGGAAGGAAAAAAGGTGGCAATCGAGAAAACTAGATCAATGTATTCATGAGTTGACCTGCAAAGCACGGTTGTATGAAACAATTGTTGGTTGGTTGGGAGTCGATAGCGATGTTCTTTTGTGGTTCGAGCAGAATTGGAAGGCGAAGTATGAAGTAACTGCTCTCGAGAGCTAAACATGATTTCACAGACCATCTTAAGTCTGAAGATTTAATCTAGCTAAAACGACTATTAAACATTCTCCTCCCATAAAACTGGTGCGAAAATTTCGATCCTTCAGAAAGAGTCGAACGTGTCAAAGCGTAAGTACAGAACGCGGACGATCTGGGCTGTGAAGAGGTGGTATGATAAGGTACTCTGAGGGGAATGTCTGGTTTTATCCTTTGCGTGTAATTGGTCAAAATTTGCATGAGTGGACTTGTGAATAATCATGCGCAGACCGCAAATTAACGACACCTTAAGCCTACTTAAATGTCAATCAGTAGTTATTTTACAAATAAAACTAATTTCATTTCTCCTTCCAGAACATGACTCTTCAGGCTATTGGAAATGTGCTGGAACAGATTATTGGAAATGGCTATCAGCACCCCTACTCTACGAAACAATTTGATCCACACCTTCGAACTGTTGTTGATCCATCTAAACAAGTTCGTCTCCCACTTCTTTTTATAATTCAATTATCAACATCATAAGGCTTGCATACTGATGTGGAGAACTGATCGTTCGACATTTTCCAATCAAATTGGTCATTTAATGCAATAACCAATCCCTTTTTAGCCCGGACGTAATCGAAAATGTTGGTCAAACACCGGAAGTGCGGATCACAGCTCAGAAGTACGAAACAGCAACGATTTTGGCTTGCTGTACGTGTGGATACCTGGAGGAGGGGTTCGTGGAAATGAAGAAGACGACCCGACTGGATGGGGTGAAGAAGTCACGACTTGCTTCCGTTATCCATACACAGAACTACTTCAGTGGGCTCTACTCACCTGCCGATTCTCTTTAGCGCGATTTATGGTGCTTTCCGGAGAAGAGGCAATCGCTAAGGTACATTTCCTAAGCATCTCGTCTGTGCAATGAGGTATTAGTTTAGGAGTGTTGTTGGAGAAAAAATTCCGAGCGTCCATAGCAGGTATTCCATCAGTATCAGGTGAACAGTTAGCTAGAGGAATTATTTCCCACGTTCCAACACGCCTTCCTAAGTATTTGGGGATATATGAAGGAGTTTTCAATGTAGAACTAGGTTTATGGCAAAATGCAAACCACAAGAGGTAAACGTTTTCAATGGATGATGTATCTGCGTTGGTTAATCGAGTTAAGAGGAGGGGGGAGGGGTGAGGTTTGACACACACATATATATAGTGTGATATTCATTACTATCAAATTAAATATTCTATTAAAGAAGTTTTATTTCCTCTCCAATATAGGCTCTGCTATCGGTGCGAATTCTACGTGGAATGCGAAAATTTGTGGACAGTGAATCAGAAGTTGAGATCATCAAGTCTCTGAAAGCGCAAGAGGAGTACGTTTAAAATGGTCATTCCAAGAAATCAGATGTTTGCACTTCCCTCACCTTTCACCAACTTGATGAGGAGAGTTTAGAGGAGCCTGCAGGTTGCTCGGGATGGATATTAGGGCCTGTTTCAGGAAAAGGGCAAAAAAGTTTGGAAGCGACAAAGTTTAAGCAGTGAGGAAGTTACACCATTGTTAAGGCGTGCGCCTCAAAATTGGCCACAAATTGGATCTCATTCTCTCAATTAACTAGGTTTTTGTATTGGCTATCATGGTGATTAGAGCCATTGACGACAGCGCATTTTGCTCTTTTGTCTGAAGTGAGCAGGGATCGAGCCCTGATCTCGCCTTACATTTGCCCCTATTATTGACCACCGTCGTTCGACATTCAGGGCTTAACTGCTACCTTAGCCCGAAATTTCACGTAGGCATCCGAATTCAACTCAATCCCTCTTAAAAGAAGAAAGCGAATTGAGGCAGGCTCAAAAGCGGTGAAGGCTTGGGGAAACCTAGTCTGCGTACCTCAAGAAGTATCCCTTTGGACTCCATCCGAACTGTCTGCTGTTCTGTGTGTTGGTGGGGGGGGGGGGGGGGTTTAATNTTGGGGGGGGGGGGGGGAGGGTTTAATCTCATTGGATGGAACGATATTATTTGTGTTCCACTTTGCTCAAGTTGTGTTTTCACTCTTATCAGACGATGATTTCCATTGATTTCCATTTCCTGTGAGAACGTCACTTCTGTGCACTTCTGTTAAGGTTTGAATTTGCGAGGGTATTTATCGTGTTCAAGGTTCGTGGCAGAGGCTGAAACATCCAATTCGCTGTGACGATAGAGAACGAATTTCGATATCAGTTTTCTCGAATAACATTTTTGTTGGAGTTTTTTTGAGGGGACTGGTGGGGTCTGGAAACAGAGCGTTGATCATTTTGCAATACCCATCGTCAATCCCTCTTTTTATGACAGACTGTTTGCATAGTGTTGAAGGAACAATCATTGAGTTTATTATTATTATTTCAAATGGCAGGCTTTATGATATTCATCATTAGCCCTTTGGTTCATTCGTTGTCTACTTGCTTCCCAGTATCTCTGGGTTTCCGTCGATCAGGTGGGTCTTCTCCATTTCCTCCTGTAGGCCACGCCTATAAATATCTA